TGCTTCTGAATCATATCTGGTGCACACAGAGTAGCCTCTCCATTCTCATACTAGCACAAAGGAGTCCTACACCTCTGCTCATACAAGGCCTCAAATGGTGCCATCCCAATGTTAGCATGATGACTGTTATTGTAAGTGAACTCAACCAACGGCAGGCATTCTTCCTAAGTCCCTTACTATTCAATCATGCAGACTCTCAAAAGGTCCTCCAAGGATTGGATAGTCCTCTCTGTTTGACCATCAGTCTGTGGGTGACAAGCCGAACTAAGTCTCAACTTAGTTCCCAACGCCCTTTGTAGACTATCCCAAAACTTCGAGGTAAACCGTTGATCTCTGTCGAACACCACACTGGTCGGCACCCCATGCAGCCTGACTATCTCTTTACATACAAATCTGCAAGCCTCTCTAACTTATACTTCATGTTGATCGGGAGAAAGTGCCTTAGTCAACTAGTCTACTATCACCTAAATGGCATCATGGTTGTTTCCGGTCCTTGGTAGCCCAGAAACAAAGTCCATGGTAAAAATATTCCATTTTCACTCAGGGATCTCCAATGGTTGCAATAACCCAGGTGGACGCTAGTGCTCTACCTTCTCCTTTTTACAAGTTAGGCATCTAGCCACATATTCAGCCACATCCCTTCTTATTCCATTCCACCAAAACTCTTCCGAAGATTCTGATACATTTTAGTCGCACTAGGGTGAAAAGTCATTCTCCTCTTATACACTTCCTCAAGTACCATTCGCTTGAATTCATCCACTTGCGGAATGTACACTCAGTTCTGGAACTTAATCACCCTATTCTCATCACAATGAAACTCCAAGTCCTTTCCCTCATTCCTTTGTCTCATCATGTCTTGTAGGAAAGCATCTCCCTGCTGAATATCTCAGATATACACCAAGAAGTCATTGTGAATCGTCGTTGCTCTGAAATACAAACTCTGCGGCCTCACCTCTGATGAATCCATAGTTTACTAGTATTTTACTATAGTTTTAAGTCATTTGATAAGGAAAATATGTGGGAAAAAGCAAAAAAACTCATAAAAATAGTATGATTGAAGGTTTTCTTTAAATACATAGTTATTTTAACATTTGTGAATTTTCTAAGTAGAAATTAAGAATTTAATCATGTTTTTGTAGGAAAAATCTGAGCAAAGTGCATGAAGATGGAAGATCAAGGGAAAGATAGAGGAAAAGTAGCAATTCTGGACTCAAAGAACAGGATTTATGGAATGTAAGCTAGGCGTGATCACTATTGTCAATGAAAGTGATCGTTCCAGAGCTTGGAAATGAAGTGGAGTCTGTGCGTTATCACTTTCGCTGGCGAAAGTAATCATTCTAGAGGGGCTTCAGACTTAGCAAGTAGCGCGTTGTCACTTTTGCTGGCGAAAGGAGCATTCCAGAGGAACCCATTCACAACAAAGAGCTGGTTACCATTCTTACTGGCGAAAGTGGATGTTCCAGAGAAGCTCCATACATAGCGAGAAGCTCATAGTCACTCTTACCAACAAGAGTGAATGTTCCAGAGAGACCTCAGCTTGGCAAGTTGCGCGTGGCCACTTTTACTCACGAAAGTGAACACACGCACTACTCGACCTCTATCTTTGTCACTTTTATCAGCAAAAGTGATCGTTCTAGTCTTCCAGAATCATATAAGCCTCTGCATGGCTACTCTTGTGAAGCAAAATGACAACGCGCAGAGGCGGGAATTCTTATAAATTGCAGAGAAAGCTTAGACTTTTGGATCTTTTTCTCATTTTTTTTGTTTTCACTTAGTTTCTTAGTGTGGAGAGAGTCAAAGAGAGGATTGGGGATGAACGTCGAGCTCCAACCTAGAAGAATCAGCTTGGGGATCAATTGAAGATGACTCTTCTGCGTTCTTTCTCTTCTACTCCTTCTTTCTCTTTCTCTGTTGTAATGCTTGCTTAATTCTTCGTAGTTAGGAATTTATGGATCTAGAATAAATGTATTGATTTGATTCTTGACTCTGAACTTTGAGTTTTTGGATTAATTGAGTAGTTAATTTTGTTATCAACGTAATCTTTGAATAGAAATTCGATTGATTAATAAAAGAGGAACTTTTACCAATGGAAATTGGAATTGCTTCTCAGATCTGAACTAACTACCAAAATTAGGGATTTCTTAGGAATAAGTGAACTTAATTCTGCAATCCTATGGTTCTGATTCATAATGCAACTTGAAATTGAATCTCGCCTAAGGGATTAGGGTGGTTTAGTTGATTGTTAGGGTCAATGAGTTAAGGGATTAACCTTTGACTATTAATATGTGAACTGATTGTCAATTAACCAATTACTTGGATGTTCAGAGGCATAGTTGAATTGATATTGATATTCTGGTGAAATAAATTCCTAACTCTATTTCATTCAAATTTCATCTTAACATAGAAATTTGTACTCTGTTTTTACAGCAAGTCATTATCTTTTATGTTCTGGTTTATTACTTCTACATGTTACAAACTCCAATTTGGTTTGGCTCAACTAGTGATTGCCTTGTGAAGTGGTAATTGAATCAAATTCCCTTATGAGATGATACTTGTATCTTAAATTTACTTATTGCTTGCTGCAATTCCTAGTGCACTTTCTAGTGTTTAGAATTGTACAACAACCTCCATGGCCAAGTTTATGTCCCAAAATTCCTCAATCAGCTCCATCTCTTTTACCATCATTGCTGCCACATGCAATGACTTCCTGCTTAATGCATCGGCCACCACATTTGCCTTACCAGGATGGTATGACAATGTAAAATCGTAATCCTTGAAGAATTCCATCCATCTACTCTGCCGCATGTTCAACTCCCTTTGATCAAACAAGCATTTCAAGCTTTTGTGGTCCCTGAACACCTCAAACCTTGCTCCATATAGGTAGTGCCTCCATACCTTAAGAGCAAAAACCATTGCGGCTAACTCCTAGTCATGCGTTGGGTAGTTGACTTCATGAAGACGCAACTGCCTTGTATAGGCAACTACTCGCTCATCTTGCATCACACCACACCCAAGTCCTTGCCCACACGCATCACAATACACGTCAAACTTTCGCTCTGGGTCAGGCAGAACTAACACAGACGCTGAAGTCAACTTTATTTTCAGCTCTAGGAAACTAGCTTCACACCCTTTGGTCCATTTAAACTCCCTTCCTTTGCGGGTCAGCTTCGTTATGGGTAAAGCTATCTTCGAAAATCCCTCAATGAACTTTCTATAATATCTGCTAGTCCCAGAAAACTGCGCACCTTAGTCACATTCCTCAGCCTCGGCCATCCAGCTACCGCTTCCACCTTTGCAGGATCCACCATGATTCCTTCCTACGACACTATATGCCCTAGAAACTGGATCTCTGACAGCCAGAACTCACACTTAGAGAATTTCGCATACAATTGTCTTTCCCTTAGAATTTGCAAAACAATCCTCAAGTGCTCGGCGTGCTCTTCTTGAGTCTTTGAATAAATTAGGATGTCGTTAATGAACACCACCATAAATTTATCCAAAAGCTCATGGAAGATCCTGTTCTTGTAGTCTATGAACACTGCAGGCGCATTGGTCACTCTAAACAGCATCACCAAATACTCATAGTGACCATACTGCGTCTTAAACGTCATCTTAGGTACATCCTTGTCCTTCACCCTTATTTGATAGTACCTTGACATCAGGTTAATCTTAGAGAAAACTGCAGCCCCTCTCAACTGGTCCATCAAGTCGTCAATCCTCGAGAGCGGGTACTTGTTCTTTATCATTACTTTGTTCAGCTGTCAGTAGTCCACACACATCCTTATGCTCCCATCCTTCTTCTTCACCAAAAGCACTGGTGCTCCCCACGGTGACACACTCGGTCTTACAAACTGCTTCTGCAACAAGTCCTCTACTTGTTGCTTGACCTCTACCAACTCTACCAGTGACATCCTATATGGTGCCACAGAAATCGGGCTTGCTCCTGGAATAAGATCAATGGCAAATTCTATCTCCCTTTCGGGCAGCAATTCTGAAATGTCTTCAGGAAAGACTTCTAAGAAGTTTCTCACCACCGGGATATACTCCGGCTCCACCACGCTCTCAGCCTCCATTGAGAACATGACCATAAAGGCCTTAGCATTCACTGCATTTTCCCCCGCACCTCAGCTCAAAAGTCTCAGAACTTCTGACATTGACGCACCAAAGATCAACTTCTTCTCTTTACAATCCAATAGTACATGGTTGAAAGCTAGTCAATCCATCCCCAAAATCACGTCCGATTGGAAAAGAGATAAACAGATCAAGTCCACCTCAAACTCCCTAACATGCACCATTATCGAACACCTCAGACACACCCATGACTTTACAACCGGTTTACCCGTAGAGGTAGTCACCACAACATTGCATGGTAATTTAGCCACATATAGACCTAGACTCTTTACACATTCCACAGAAACGAAGAAGTGAGTAGCACCCGAGTCAAACAAAACATCAAGTAATTGGCCCTAAATAATGCATTTACCTCGGATCAGCTCTTCTGACTGTGAAGCCTCTGCCCCCACTCATAGCAAAGACTCTACCAGGAATGCTCGGCTTTGGCCCCGTACTCTACCTTGTGCTCCTTCTTGATTCTGGTCTCTAAGCTATACTTGAACTGCCACTCCTCTTAGCGGCCCAGTACATATTTGCAGTGTGTCCCGACTTCCCACAGTTGCTACAAGTTATCTGTGGCTGTGGGCAGTCCCTCACTATATGTGGCCCTCCATACCTGAAGCACTTGATCGGCCCTCTGAAAGAGTTTGATCCTAAGCCAGAGCCAGAGCCAATACCACTGCTTATCTCCTGAGACAAACTCCCTCTAAACTGTGAGTGGCTGGAGTCCGAATATGGCCCCTTGGAGAATCTAGAGGGTCTTCTATCTTGCCTCACTGGACTGGCTCCCTAGTGTCCACTGTCTTCCCCTTTGAATTTGCTTCAAAGATTCTACTCTTGGTCACCAGAGTGGGCAAGTCCGTTAGTTGAAACACACTGACTGCAGCTCAGATGTTTGGCCTCAGTCCATGCTCAAACTGAGCACACAAGTCCTCCTCTCCATCCTCATATTGATAGTGAGGCCAGTACTTCATCAGCTCTTGAAATTTTGCTGCATACTCCCCCACTGTCACGATTTCTTGCTTTAGCTCGAGGAACTTTTTGGCTTTCTGCTTCTCAGATCCTGGGAAAAGTAATTTCCTAGGAAGATTGCCTTAAAGGTCTCCCACTAAATGTAGCCACCCTCGTCTGAATGGTAAACCTCCACCAGTCTTCTGCCTCCCCACACAACATGTAGGTGACGTAGTTCACCTTGTGCTCCTCGCAGCATCCCATGGCGTGGAAGATCTTCTCCATGCTAGCCAACCACCTCTGGGCTCCCTTAGGGTCAAATCCTCCCTCAAACTTTGGAGGATCATGCCTAGTGAAGGAAGACAACACTACGTATTCTGTCGGCTCCCCACCTTGGTTATGCGCCAAGGTTTCCAAAATTTTAGCCATACGCTCCATGAGATCATTGGTTCCTCTAACTCCTCTACCTCTACCAGCCATGTTCAATCTAAGCTAACAACAATTCAGTAAACCACATTCCAGTACATTAGACTAATTACACATTTATAAATCAAGTAAACAAAATGAATCTTGGACTTTTCAGCCAGATACTCCAGTTTGGTTTGGATGAACTGTTCTGATACCAAAATTGTAATATCATAAATTTAATTTCTAAAATAAATGAATTTCGTAAAGATGGGAATAATAAAAAATTTTATTCAAATGGTTTCCGAAGCATAGTTCAACAAGGTATTTCAAAATAAGGGTGAATTACAATTAGAATCAATAATTGCTACAGGACTCAAGTAGTACATCAATTTTCAAAATAAATTCCTAAGTCCTATAGCAGTTTCATCAATCCCTTCACAGAGTTCGGTGCTAATGGTCTTGGTCACCCGAAAAATCAATGTAAGGGTAAGTACTCTACACTATTCAATGAACACAAACATAGAGACTCATCTTACACACTTCACGTGTTTTCTAACATTCTACACAAATATAATCAACTACAAGCAACACTTTTCAAACATTTCAATTCAATCACATTCAGTGCGCTCACTACACCACTAACATTCACACACACATGTGCGCTTACTATACGTAGCCACGCTCACTATGGCACTATAATCACAGTTTCACACTATGGATGGTCGCCAGTTACCCCTACCTCACAGATACCACGTGTGCGGTCACGAGTCACTCGGCAAAGGTGTTGGTTAGAGGTTCAGTCATGAGGATAGTGTGTTGGTCAGAGGTCTAGTCACTCTGCACTAACAGTCCTAAGCAAGGTGCCTAAAGTCCTATTGACTACTTCAGTTTGTCCATCGGTTTGTGGGTGACAAGTAGTAGAAAATAGCAATTTAGTACCTTGTTTTCCCTACAAAGTCCTCCAAAAGTGACTTAGGAACTTGGCATCCCTATCACTCACAACGCTTCTAGGCAATCCATGGAGCCTCACAATCTCTTTGCAAAACAATTTTGCCACATGACAAGCATCATCTACCTTTTTACAAGGTATGAAGTGAGCCATCTTAGAGAACCTATCAACAACAATAAAAATAGAATCTTTTCCACTCTTTGTTCTAGGAAGCCCTAAAACAAAGTCCATAGACAAGTCAATCCAAGGATATTCGTGAATAGGAAAAGGAGTATATAAACCATGTGGCATCACTTTGGATTTAGCCTTTTTACACACAATGCAATGCTCACAAAATTTATGCACATCACGTTTCATACGGGGCCAAAAGAAATGTTCTTGCAAAGTTTTCAAAGTCTTTTTAACCCCAAAATGACCCATCAATCCCCCTTCATGTGATTCACTATCGAGCAGTTCTCTAATGGAACATTTAGGCACACACAATTTATTTTCTTTAAATAAAAAATCATTATGCCTATAATAACCATTTTGAGACATCCTTTCATATGCAACATATATATCACCGAAAACTTCATTATTCACATACATTTCTTTCATAGATTGGAGTCTAAACAACTTAGTTTCAAGAATGGAAAGTAATGCACGTCTCCTAGATAAAGCATCGGCCACAATGTTTCCTTTCCCCTTTTTATGCTTTATGACATAGGGAAATTGTTCCAAAAACTCAACCCACTTAGCATGCCTTTTGTTAAGCTTGCCTTGTCTCTTTAAGTACTTTAAGGACTCATGATCACAAACTCCTTTGGTAAAAGGTAATGATGCCATGTTTTTAAAGCCCTTACTAAGGCATACAATTCTTTATCATAAGTGGAATAGTTAAGAGCAACCCCACTTAACTTTTTACTAAAATAAGCAATTGGATGACCTTCTTGTAACAAAACAGCCCCAATTCCCACATTGGATGCATCACATTCAATTTCAAAAGATTTGTCAAAATTAGGCAAAGTAAGAATGGGTGCATTTGTTAGCCTATGTTTTAGGGCAGCAAAGGCCTCTTCTTGTTTCTCTCCCCATTTAAAAACCTCATTTTTTTAACCACTTCATTAAGAGGTGTTGCCAAGGTGCTAAAGTCTTTAACAAACCTCCTATAAAAACTTGCCAAACCATGAAAACTCCTTACATCACTCATGGTTTTAGGTGTGGGCCATTCTTGGATGGCCTTAACCTTTTCCTCATCTACTTGCACTCCCTTAGAACTAACAACAAAGCCAAGGAATATAACGTGGTCAGCACAAAAAATGCATTTCTCAAGATTGGCATACAATTGTTCCTTTCTAAGCACACACAAAACAGATTTCAAATGTTCAAGATGTAACTCTAGAGTAGTGCTATAGACAAGAATATCATCAAAGTACACCACAACAAATGTGCTAATAAATTCCCTCAAAACATGGTTCATCAATCTCATGAAAGTACTAGGTGCATTAGTTAAACCAAAAGGCATAACCAACCATTCATACAAACCATATTTTGTTTTAAAAGCAGTTTTCCATTCATCCCCTTCTCTAATCCTAATCTGATTCAAGTGGAGCAACAACTCAAAAGAAAAGGGGTAGCAATGAGGAGTTCTTCCAAACCATACAAACACTTCACCTTTACCTCACCAACATCTTCCTCCACCTTTCCTACAAATTTCGTGTTGAAGGAGCTCACTTTGGAGGAGGAACTTAAAGATCCTTGGTGCTGTTTTCTCGGTCCAGCAAGCATTCTTTGGAGATCCACCATTTCTAGCTCTTTCTTCTTTAATTTCACGTCTCAAAGCTCAAAGGCAAGGGGGAGTTCTCACTTTTTTATCTTTGATTTGCTTTCCCTTGGTTGAACTTGGGAAAAACCTTGAAAAGATTTCATCTTATCTTTAATAACCTTGAACAAATCAAAATCATCCCTTGCATGTTAAGTTTTCTATCTTACACTTCACTTTATTGTCTCCAAATTCTCGGTTTATGCTTGGATAAGTTGATTCCTTTGAAAGCTTGACATTTTATCACTTACATGTTAGTTTCTTCTTGTGCATGTCTTGGTTTTGCACTTGTTTTGTTGGATTTCTCATTCAAATAATGATTAACCCTTTGGAACCATAAAACCATGAGTTGAAGGTTAAGTTTCATCCATTGCATGTTGAATTTTAGCCCTTGTGTGTTTTCGGTTCTCTTCACTTGGCTTGATTTTTTTTTCTAACCAAAAGATTTTGTGCTTGGATGACATGACAAGGTGCTGCATGTTAATCTCTTACCTTTGCATGTCTCAGATTCCTTTTCCTTAAGCTTGATCTCCATTGAAGTGAGTTGCTTTCAAAACCTTAGAGAAGTTTTAAGTGTTTGGATGGTAAAACAACATAGTATTGTCTCAGTTTTGCTCTTGGAAGCATGAATACCCTTTGGAAATAATACCCTTGCACTTGGATGATGTAACCATATATTTGCATGTTAATTTTCTCTATTTTGCTTATTTTGGACTTGACAAAAAATGAGTCGTAAGGCTGAACAATTTTGATTGTTAGGAGTAGAAAGGCTAAAACTTGCATATTTTGAAACCTTGGAACATTTCGAAAAGATTGGTATGAATCATGGGAATTAATTTCATAAAAAGAAAAGGCCAAATTGCTTGGATGGTCTCGGTTTTGGCATTTTAAATGTTGCAAAAGTTGGAAAATATCTTGCATGCTTTGTTTTGTGTAAGAAAGCTAAAATGAACTTGAAAATGCCTTGATGTAACTTAATTGATTGAACCATGCTAGACCTTGCTTGTGTTTATGGATGAATGTTGCTTGCAAGTTTGCAAAATTGGTCTTGACATTACCTTGTGATGGTGCTTGAAAATTGTGATGCTTACTTGTGTGAATATGCTGGAAAAATGTGAATGATGTGAGATGAAGTACTATTCATTCTTGGTAATTGTTCTTGGAAAGTCGTGAAGGAGCTTGAAGTGATGCATGGCTGAAAACTTGAGTTGATTGCTATCTATTATAAATTATGCCATGGAATTACTATTTTGAGAGCATCACATGCATCATTTGCATATCACTATAAAAGAATTGATGAATTATAATAATGTGTAGCAAAAGTGATTATATAATGTCGTGCTTATGATGATCTAGTGTCCTTGAGGGCTGTTTGATGGAAATGGACCATGAATATGATTGGATTTATTGGAAATGTTACAATCTAGTTGTGTTATGAGTGATTGGGTATGAAGAATAAAAAATCAGCATGTGACCTATGAGAAAAAGTGTGATGAAATGAGAGAATAGGACTTTGAATATTTGTGAATTAATTTGATTAAGTTGGTGGTATAGAAAGTACTTAAGTTTGATTGAACGTCCCTAATAAAGAGTGAAAAACTGAGAGGTAACAATTTGGATTATTTTGAATTAACTTGTTTAATTGATGGTTTAGAGAGGAACTAAGTTTGATGATTTGTTCTTTTATGGAGAGAAAAACCAAGAGGAAGAAACCATGAGGGCAAGGGTTGAATTGAATGATTAATGGTTTAGAAGGTGCTAGAGATTGATGAAAATAAATGAAATGGTTAGGATGAACTTGAATGGTGAGATTGCATGAATTGAGGAATAGGATTGTACTAAATTAAAGAGGGACTAGACTTAAAAAATGAAAGAAAGGGAGAAATAAAGGGGAAATGAATTATGAAGGCTTAAATGAATTGCCTAAGCTATGGTCCAATATATTATATGCTGCACTAAAATTATCCATGAGTATAAATTTATAAAACCATGAGATTATGAAATTATGATGAGAGATCCATGTTATGCTTTGAGTTCTTGAAATAAACTATATTGAGAATTATTGTGAAACTCATGGAATCTGTCTATTCATGCTACGACATGTGATTCATGGAGATTATTTATTCATGTTGCTAAGTCCATGATGACTTCTATTATCACTGTGCAATAGCCCCAACCGGCTAAACGAAATGAGTTGAGAAAACTATCACAAGAAAACTAAGAATGCTACTTCATGCATCATATTAACTTGTGAAACGACTTGATGGCATAACAGAGGCACAGCTATAGGTATTGGAAGTTCGGTCCAAAGTAGACCTTCTA